TCGGTGCTACCCCCTGCCTGCACCGCGCCCCGCCTGTGCCACCTCCTGTCTGCACCGTGCAACCCTGTGCTATCGCCTGCCTGCACTGTGCCGCCGCCTGCCGGCGCCACACCCCAGCCCCCTGTGCCACCTCCTGTCTGCACCGTGCAGCCCTGTGCTATCGCCTGCCTGCACTGTGCCACCCAGTCCCTGCCCTCCTGCCCAGCGGTGGGCAATGCAGCCTCAGCCTCTGCGTGCCCCCCAAGTCCCAACCCTGTCCCACTGCAGAGCAAGGACCAGCCAGGGAAGCCACCCCACAGCCCAGCACATGCCACGACCACCATGCCAGCAGGGCATCCTGCCCACCATGGGGTGAACGATCCGTCCTCTCAGGGCTGTCGTGGGGCTGCAGGCTCACTACCCAGCCTTCCCCACAACCCTGCTACTGCAAGCAGCAAAAGCCCCCACAGTGGCCTCCTGGCAGCCCTCTCAGGCTCAGGATAGCTCTGTTATTAATTAGTGTGCTTACTGGCCTGGCCACCACATAATTGGTGCATTCAGGCAAGCACGTCAATCCCTGCCACCCTGCACCAACTCTCCTACCTGTCCATACCAGACTCGTCCCTCACCTCCCCTCACCCACGCAGCCCTCTGCTTCAGAGCCAAAATTTCCTGGTGGCTCCAGCTCCTGCCTTGTCTCCTCCCCGACCCTGTGGGATGTGGGGTGATGGGTCCTGACGAACGCACTTCACTACCTCTTCCTCACGGAGGCTGAACTTCAGCTGGAAAACAGACCCCAGCTGGAATCGCTTGCCTCCAGACGGATTTCAGAGCCCACCGTCTGCAGTGGGGTTTCTCCCTCCTTCCCAGCAGAAGGTAGAAAAAGGGTCTTGGCTCTTGTGGTTTTGTCCTTGGCCCCCAGGACCCTGTTCCTGAAGCTCAGCTACACACTTGCCTGTGTCAGAAAAGGCTCCTGGTTTTTCTGCTTGCAAAGAAAAAATCTGACAACCTTTTAAAGCCTCAGAGAAGCAGGAGGTGCAGTGGAAAACGGGTGATCCTGGGATTTATTATTTTTGACAATCTCATCATTTTGGGCCTGACTCACGGCTTTTGAATGTTTGGGACGGGCAGCAGAAGGCAAAAGTAAAGCTCAGCAGAGGCGGCAAGGACAGGCAGGAGGGGCAGGCGTCTGCAGTGACAAGGCAACGGAGGGGACCATCATCCTGTTCCCAACCCCTCTTCATCCTCACCAGGGCTTGTGACTGCCCCTGGACCTGGTACAGCAGGAGGGCTGGCCGGCCCGTGTTCCTCCAGCCCCCTGGCATGGCACAGGAGGCAGCCCCCATCCTGCTGTTTGTCTTCGCCAGGCTGGTGTCATCCACGTGGCACGAAGGTGAGTGTGGGGCATGCAGATGCTCCCCAGGGACGACTGCCTGCAGGGTCCCACTCCCATCCGAGGGCTCGTGGTGGGGGAGGGAGGGTCCCCCGGTACTGCGATGCCAGGGAGAGCATCGGTGCCTGCGGGGTATGGAGTGCCTGACGAGGTGCACTGTGGGGCACGGGGCTGGGGGGTGCTGGGAGGCATCCAGAGGGAAGCAGAAAACCAGCATCTCCATCATGCCCCTGAAAAAAAAGCTTTCCTGCTGCCTCCCGGCTCCCGCGGGGGCCATCAGCCAGCAGATGTTTGCCTGGACAGAGTGCTTGGATTCAATCCCCCACCACAGCCAGGCAGCTGGGTCAAGAATCAAAAGCCCTTGCCCTTTTGGGCAATGGGCTCCCCTCCCCTGCTCCCATCCCCTTGCCACACTGCCAGCACTGAGCTGGAGATGCTCCTGCCCAGTGCAGCCAGGGCTACGAGCTGGCCCCAGGTGAGAAGAAAAAGGCAGTGCCTGCAGGAAAAGGCAGCGCCTGCAGGAAAAGGCAGCATTGCAATTAAACGGCACATCTGCCACCAAGGACACAGTGCACCCCGTCCCCGGGGCCC